TTTTTGTTGTACACAGACAAAGATCGCTTCTCCATCTGAATCGGGCCAGTTCCTCGGTTTCAACATCGTCTTGGAGAACTACGTTCCACGTCCGTCTACGGCAAAGAGCACCTCTATAAGGATAGCTGTCGGATTGTGGGATTCCTCTCCTCCTCCATACAAGCGTTATTCCCTGGCCCACTACGACTGATGGTGAGATACGTACGCACCGGTCACTCATACGACCACTGGATCCCACTGTCAGCGGAAGTGAGGATGGAATTTCGATGGTGATTACTTCACATACAAACTTGGATTGGCAAAACGATCTTTGACTCTTCCTTCGGATACGGGGCGATGGATGAACCCCTGCAAACGCGACCCAGCCGTTCTCCACAATAGCAAGGGTGCTTCGATGCACACACACACACACCCACAAGATATCGCTCCTGCTCATGACACCCCTCAGGCAGGGCCAACCGTGATTTCCCGGATCGCCTGGAGATGTCTCGCGAAGACCCTCTACTACTCCCTACCTTCCCTCTACTTCTGACGGGACCTCGAGGGGAAGCCCACTCCCTTGTCATGGTAGGACAACTGGTACTAGTTGCCTGGACGGCTTCAGGGGCTCCTGGTCAGTTCACGACCTATTGCATCAACTAAGACCTCCTATGGGAATCATAGGCCCCCGGCACCAGGAAAGGCTATATTCTACCTGGTCGGCCTGGAGTGATTGGTGTGTGAAAAGGGATTCCGATCCCTTTACCGCACCTGTCCCACTGATCCTCAACTATCTGTCACACCTGGTCTCGTTGGGTCGGTCATATCGATCCCTCAACGTGATCAGATCCGCCATATCGGCGGCGCACGTTCCGGTACAGGGCAGACCAGTAGGTCAAGATACACTGGTTTGTCGACTACTGCGGGGTGCCGAATTGTCGAGATCCCTGCACCCAAATATTCACGCCTCTGGCAGGTGGATGTGGTGCTGAGATTCCTTAGGGAATGGCCGGACAATCCTTGTTTGTCACTGAAGCAACTTTCAGCCAAACTAGCCCTCTTATTATGCCTCGCCTCATTTAGACAGTGGCGGACGTTAGGGCTTGCGATATGGATGGTTTCTCTCTCACACCAGACGGGGTTACCTTTACCATGTCGAGACAAACTAAGTCTGATTCGTCTTCAGTGTCATACCCATGCTTTGTGTCAGACGCCACACTATGCGTGGTCAGAACGCTAATGGGGTACACCAATATCTCTACCCCCTTCAAACTCATTCGACGGATCACCTTCTGACTTCTTACGTGAACCCTCATGGACCGGTGTCTACCGCAACACTGGCCAGATGGGTCCGCTGGTTTTTGTCTTTAGCGTCGAACCTTGTTTCGGAGCCCACTCGGTCAGGGGAGCGGCGGCCTCACAAACCTTTTCGGCCGACGCTTCCCTAGCCGACATTATACGCTGCGCGGACTGAGCGCGAGAGAGTACGTTTAGAACGTTCTATTTTCGGCAAACATCTCATGCTTCCTTCACATTGGTCAATTCAAAGCTTTAAAAATGCAAATATGAAGCCTCCTGTCATGTGGTAAAATTGAAGATTATATTAGCTTTAGTGTACTAATAATCTTAATTTTAGTAATGACAGGAGGCGAATATTTCCCACCCTATAGGATCCCTCCCATGTTTCTCGTGTTGAACAGAATATGTCCTTTATGTTTGCTACTTAGACCTGTATCTTGTGGGTCTTGTATTGGCTGAATATTAGACATGAACCTTGCATTATGTTGTGTTTATAGATTCTTAAATATCATTGCGTTAGAATAAATATATATTGATATGTTTCACATTCTAATGTTCGTTGGTATATCAGATGCTTAATGCTTATTGTATGCGGACAAGTTATCACGCCAGATACCTTTCACCTTTTTCTTTTTCTTGCAGCGTGAACGTCTTCTCATCGAGACAAAGATTCACCTTCCATACCTCTGCATCGCGGAACTAATGGAGTTGGATATTCTAATATGTTGTTGAACTGTTGACGTAATATGATTATGTCTCTTGTTGTTATTTATTGTTTCGCTTCAAAGAAAGAGGAAGTGATGTCATAGACAGGGCCTTTTATGGGCATCATAACTTTTTTTCTGATTGGTTGTTATGTTTCTATGCTGCTGGAGTTTTCAGTAAAGAAAGATATGCAAATATTCGCCTCCTGTCATTACTAAAATTAAGATTATTAGTACACTAAAGCTAATATAATTTTCAATTTTGCAACAAACTAGGAAAAAAATAATAATTCTTGACCCCAAAATGGCAGTAAGATATCTCCATGGATCAAGAAGCTATTACCCCACTAACTAGAAATGATGTCCCTGTATATTATGTTTTTGCAAGTATTTATCCAATTGCGGTTTGAACATCTGTATGGACTCTGATAAAACCACATCTTCAAGGAGGGAATTCCACATCCTTATTGTTCTTACAGTAAAAACTGTAGATTTCCAGAAAATAATCAGTACTGACCCCAAATATATTTGTATAATGTTATCATAATCCCTCTGAGGCACCGTTTTTCCAAACTAAAGAGATTTAAATTTTTTGACCCTGAGGCACTTGTAGCCCATTTTGCACTTTCAAACTAAAGAGATTTAAAATTTTATATTTTTTAATAAATTTTTTAAATGCTAATTATATTCCACCTTGCCCTTTTTTATCCCACTCCCAACCCCCAGCTCCCTGCATACAATCACAGTCTCCTCCCCAACCTACTGATGGAACTGTGCAAGAATTTTTTGGGGTTTCCCCTATAGCGCAAGAGTGGAGAAAAGACAGATACCATCTGTCATACAACTTCCATGATGTTATGCCAGCTGGGCGATCTACCGTTTCACCATGTCTTGTAGGGTTGTATTTGTGAGCAGTTGTATTTGTGAAGTTTGAATGTATGTAGCATGTTTTTAGGGTGATAGAGTATGTGTGTTTGTGATGTAGGGGTGTATTTGTCCATGTACTGTTACACTTGGAATGCATGTACGGTGTACTTGTGTGTAGTGTTTGCACTTGAATCAGTGTATGTAATGCGCACACTTTAAATACTGTTGTGTGTTGTTTAACAAGAGTGTTTTTAAAGGAATATTGCACTTTTTGTGTCTTTAAATGCGATGCTTTTTGTGTATTATTGTGATAAATTAAAATTTAATTAATAAACTTCATGTTTATAAGAATATTTCCTTGATGCTGGAAGTACACAAATGCTGCCTAACACAGTAGAATTCACATGCATCCAGATACACGTAACACACTGATAAATCAAAGTGAATTTTAACATTTAACACACAGATAGCACATCAAACACAGGATTACATTTGAAATGTTCCTTGAATTCTCACCTTGTAAATAAGTGAATACACATCTTATCTGTTCAGGATTTACTTGTAGAATTTTATTAATTGAATAAGATGAATTTATTGATTGATTTATTTTGGCGACATGTGAATTTCTGTTGCTACAGTGCTGCACTATAAAATTACTTCTCAATAGCATGTATAAGTTACATGCTGGGTTATTCGCCTAACTTAAAGGGATCCTATAGTGCCAAGAAAACCAACCCGTTTTCCTGGCACTATAGGGTTAATAGGTCACCCACCCCCTTTCAGCCACTTACCTTAATCTAGCGCCGGTCTCCCCCCTGGTGACCTCTCCTCCACCTGCCGACGTCAGCTCCCGAGTGGAGCTAAATGCACATGTGCGGCCAGAGGCGTGTGCGCACATTAAAACCCACCCATAGCTTTCCTATGGGGGATCTTATTTGACGCTGGACTCCGTGAGGACGTCCAGCGTCATTTCAGTGCGATTTACTCACTGAGAATTGAGGAAGTGGCCTCTAGTGGCTGTCAGGGAGACAGGATTAACCCTGCAATGTAAACATAGCAGTTTCTCTGAAACTGCTATGTTTTCAGCTGCAGGGTTAATACTAGGGGGACCTGGCACTCATTGAGCTAAATTGGTCCTTTAATTTCTTTTGACAAATTAAATCTGCACGGCAAAACATAAGATATTTTTTTTTCTCCTAATTCCTAATTTTTTTCCTATTTTTTACCTTAGTTTTTCCACCTGAGGGCAAGTAGATTTAAAAATCCAGGCACTGGCCTTGATTTAATATTTTTGAAAAAGTCTTTACAATTATTTGTTTATTTTTGGATAAGTGTTTATCCAAAAATCTATTTCTAAAAATGCGTATCAATAAAAAAAAAACATTAATATTTTTAAAACTGTATCATAAAATATGAAATCAAGGCCATTGTTTCCAAGATTTATCAATGTCCAGGTTTTTCAGAACAAACTCCAATGTATTCTGGATTTTTACCATGTCCAGATGAAACTTAAAGGATGAAATCCAGAAGTGAATTTTGGAAATATATAACCAAATGCTCCAATTCAAAAGAAATGGCTAATTAATTATTATTATTTTTGTTTGTTTTAAATTCTTTATTTTTCTTGTGCATAGGTTGACAACAAGCGTGCAGAGCCACGACAGCATCATTTCACATCGTGACAGTTTAGACGGCACATTTTTTATATTATATGAAAATATCAAGCTATTAAACATCGTTTTTATGTTATCACATGCTAAGCTATACATGCATAAAACAGTGCTAGTTGCGCTTAAGATATGCATCAGGCTAGTTGTTTAAATGTATGCCTTTGTAGCGCATTAAAAAATAAAAAAGTTAAGTAAAATAAGATGGATAATGCTCAACAATGCTAGATTATTTAAATACGTGTGGTTGGAAAGTGGTAGCCTGATTTACAGTGTAGCAGAAGCTGGTCTGTGTGTGGTGCCTGGACATGTTGTACTGTGTATACATAGGCTGCAAGGTACTAGAGAAAGAAAAACATTGCTATATCCTGCCTAATATTCAAGGTAGTGTTACCACATAATCTATACATAAATATTAACTGCTTTGTTAAGGGTAACTGGTTGTTGAGCCATCAGGTAATCACTTGGTTTAAACAATGCCTACAGTCTATTTATCACACTATGCTTATCTGAGTTCCGTGGGGTCGAGGCAAAATCACAGAAGTGTGGGCTAGAGTCCAGGGTGACCACATGGACGCAGTGGCGTGGCAGCGGGCCAGCTCTCAGTGAGGTAGCAACGTACAGCCGACTCCCGTGATCGGTAAGGACCCGGCCTCTCCACGTGAGTCCTGGGGGGGCTTCAGTGTTGTGGGTCGTGTTGTGTCGTCTGCCCCACATCTGCCTAGCTGTCGGTGTGTCCATATTGTCTGCTGCTGTAGTGACCCGCCAGGTGGCGGTTCTCTCGCTTGTTGCGTGTCTTCCCAGCTTCAGGTGAACCGCAGGGTGGCCCAGAAGTGGCCACAGAGGTCTTCCCCTGCAGTATGGGTCGAGCTGTGGTGTTTGAGAGCTCCTTTCTGTAGGGCTGTGATGGACAGGATGTCTGTCTGCTGCTCGTTTTCTCAGCCGGTATGGCAGTTTCCGCGGCTAATGTCGCTGCACAATTATCAGGGTGTTGTGGGATGGGTGCCGGGCCATAGGAGTTCGCTTCTTTTTACATGCGTGTTCTCTGTGTGCCATCTCCCCCTTGGCCTGCGCCTTTCTTGCGTGGCTTAGTAGCGTGGACCAAAAGTAGTCAAGTATGGCCCCCAGAGTGTCAGTTTGGCGTTGTCTTTGGGTCTACTCTATTCGGCCGTGGCAGTATCTGGCTTGCTGCTGCAGCGCCTGGTGCGTCCGCCATCTTGTGTGACTCTGTGTCCATGTGGTTTGTGAGCTTTGTAGAGCTCGTGCGGGCCAGAATCAACGCAGGTCCCTAGGGACCGGGATAAGCCCCACCAGTCCACAGGGAGGGAGGTGATATGGGAGTACCCCCTCGTCGGCCAGAGAACCGAGAGAGCGGCCGTCTATCCTAGGCTCCCAGCTGCACAGGCCGCAGGTCGCAATGCTGTCCGCTTAGCACTGGGGAACCAAGTATCGGGTATCCCCGGGTGCAGTTCAGTCTCCGTGTTTCGTGATCGCGGTTAGCAGTCGATGTGCTTAGGTGGTCGGGCGGAATGTCCTGAATCTTGGCTCCAGACTCGGGAGCTCTCTCTTTACACGTCTTGTCCACTCAGTAGTTAGGCTCCGGCCCATGGCTAATTAATTTAAGCAGAATTTCCATAATTTAGTGGAACCAAATTTGCAAGCAGTTTAGTCAATTCTAAAAAAAGCTAATACATTGAGGGAAAAAACAAGACCATTTATATAACTAACTCATAGCAAGAAAGGGTTATATTTGTGAAATTGCCTTCCAAAAGATTTGATCACACTGGATTTGGTTAAAATTCAGTGACAAATATGCAAATGTTGCATATTTTACAAAGGATTGAATGTGAGAATTACACATTTTAATGTAGACACCGGATGGTACTGAATAAGATGTGCTTATTTACTTGAAATCACTTAATGCTAAAATGTTTTGCCTTTAGCCCTTCACATTGACACTCCTGTATACACGATTGTTAGGGTATACAGCCATAACCTGCAACCGTGTGCACACTATTTAAACCATTGCAAATGAAATTTGTTTATTGCAAATAAATTTAGTCCATAATGTCTGCAGGGAGAGCATAGGGGGCATTACCATTCTTGTGCCAGCTCTACTGAGCCCTACTGAGTGACATGGGCCTGTGGGGAGATCTACAGATCTCCCTGCATGGCTCTGTGCTGTGTACCTCCAGCTGGGAAAATGCTCTCCGCAAATGCTCCCTCCCAGTCAGACTGGAAATCGGCAGCCAGAGGTGCAAATCCTGCACGCAGACCACCGAACCACTAGGGAAACCTCTTGACTGCCAGGGAATTAAGATCTGAACCTTTTTACTGGAACACATTAAGCAGGAGAGGGCCACAGCTAAGTAAAGAAAAAATAAATATTGAAAAAACAAGCAGCAATGTGTGGACAGAAAAACACGGCATCCCCACACACAATTTATCCTTGCCACACACAGTCACCCTCTCACAGTCACATTGCCAGCCACCCCCAACATTCACACACAATCACTCACCTATCACACACAGACACTCCCATACACAGTCATCCCTCCCACACTGTTACATTTCCACCATCACCCTCATACACAGACACTCCACCACAGACAGTAACTCTCATATACAGTCACCCATCATACACACAACACACACAGAGATAAACATGCTCACAGATACAGATATGCATTCCAAACACAGTCACGGATACACATACACAACAATTTATTTCCTTATTTGAGCCAAAATATTCTTTACTACATCTCTTCCATCATTATTTTCCTTTTTTTCTTCTAGTACGCACATTTGCACCTCTTTTTGAATACAGTAAAAAGACAAGAGTGCTGTCAGTGTTTGATTTTCTGAAACAGCTTTCATGGTCTTACTTTTTGTTTAAAAAGCAAAAATCCTTCAGACTGTGTTTTTGTCGTCGTCCCCCCCCCCTGCCCCCCTCAGTAATATTACTCACATTTCTTACTTTGTGAATTCAAACATTAGTGAAATAGTCAAAGTTTAAAAAAAGAAGGAAACAAAGTTAACAATATATAATAGATGAAGTAACAATTTTATACATAAAAACATGGAGCATGTACACAATACTGCCACAAACATTAAAAACTGATTGTGACAATTTTTATACATAACCCAGATTAACTCTCACCTGAAGTCACAATTAGTGTTTTCACGTCCACCATGGGTTCCTGGACATTTATCTCTTCTTCACACTGATGGCCTAGAGTTGCTAAACAATTTGTTATTTCTGGCTTCTTTGAATCGGCTATCCCTTGACCATTCTCTGTCCCTAACGTATTAGTCCGGCCATTCTAAGGACCAGTTTACGTTCTATCCTTTCTGTTTCTTTCTATATCCTATGTAGATGTTACATAGTTCTGCGTGCTGGACCACACTTCAAGTCAATCTTAATGATTATATTATCTATATGATTGACATTGACAATAGACTCAGGGAGAGAGAAAGGAACAAACTACGTACAAGATGTACCAACTTATCTATAGCCCCTCGCTTTTCCAACCCAGTGGTAGTTAACCCTGTTTCACTTCCAGAGGCTGAGCCCATGCAATTGGGCATTACTAAGCTCACTGAGGCAGAGAGACAGCATAGACGAAACAAGGGGTTGTGTCTTTATTGTGGGAAGAAGGGACATCTAAGGCTCTTATGTCCGGCTCGGCCGGAAAATATGTGCACCTAAGGCACGTTCGAGGACCGACCTTAGGTGTGATGTATATGTCCTCCAAATTGACTAAGAACCATTTCCTTGTAAAAGTTACTCTGCATTGTAAGAGAACTACTATTCAGTGTGAGGCCATGATCGACTCTGGGGAAGCAGAGAATTTCCTTGACAGAGAATTCTCTGCTAAACATCTCCTGCCATTGAGGCAGAAAGATAGACCCATTGCAGTTGAGGCCATTGATGGGAGACCTATTACCTAACCTCTCATCACTCTACCTATCACTGTCTCAGTAGGCATCTTACATTCTGAGGAATTGGTTTTCCAGATTATTTCTTCCCCTTCCTGTCCTGTGATACTCGGTTTCCCTTGGCTCCAGAAACACAATCCACGTCTAGATATGGTTAAAGGAGAAATTGTGGGTTGGGGAGAGACTTGCAAAAGTCATTGTGAACACCATATGCCAAAACGTGTTGGTACCATCAATTTACCTACTGCACCTCCCTTAACCACAGAGATCCCACCTCAGTATTTAGAGTTAAAGGAAGTTTTAAATAAGGTTCAGTCAGAGGTATTACCACCACATAGACCCTATGACTGTGCCATAATTTTGCTACCAGGTACTATGCCTCCGAAAGGGGGAGTTTATGTGCTGTCTCCTCAAGAAACTATCTGCTTGGAGGAGTATATAAATGATGCTCTAAGAAAGGGCCACATGCGGAGATCCTCTTCACCTGCTGGGGCTGGGTTCTTCTTCGTCTCTAAGAAAGAAGGAGACCTACGCCCTTGCATCGATTATAGGGGTCTAAATAAAATAACGGTTAAGAACGCCTACCCAATCCCACTTATTTCTGAACTATTTGACAGGTTAAAAGGTGCTAGAGTAGTCACCAAACTCGACCTAAGGAGTGCATATAACCTAGTCAGAATTAAGGAGCGACACGAGTGGAAAATGGCGTTCAACACCAGAATGGGACATTATGAGTACCTGGTCATGCCATTTGGTTTGTGCAATGCCCCAGTGATATTCCAGGACTTTATAAACAATGTCCTTAAAGAATACCTCCACAAGTTCGTACTGGTGTATCTAGGTGACATTCTTATCTATTCCCCAGACCTGGATACTCATCACGAACATGTGAAAATCGTGTTAAAAACCCTGCTAGAGAATGGCTTATATTGTAAGCTTCAAAAGTGCCAGTTTGACCAGACGGAAATACTATTCCTTGGATATGTAATATCCCCTTCTGGCTTTAAAATGGACCCAAGCAAACTGGAAGCAGTACGAATACATATTTGGCCCGAAACAAATTGCACATTGAACAGAGTCAAACCGTGTTGATGCCGTGGGAAGGCGTCGGGCACGACGGCCTGTCCTATGTTTTTAAGGTCAGGAAGTGTTTCCAGGTCAGTTGCCGTTCAGATTAAAGAAGCAGCACTGAATTAGGCAGGAACGGAGCCTTACCAGTACGAGATTCCGTGCTACTGGACGAACACCAGACAGGAGAGCAGTTCCACGTGGATGCAGGTAAGTTGGCGATCTGTATGCACCCGAAGTAGCCACATGCAGATCGCCAGACCATTAACGGTAGGGTAGAAAAGGGGAGATTCACTTTTAAAGGTAAAAAAGCCCCTCCCACAACTCCACACAACTCCAGGCAAAGCCTTAGTACACACTGTAATGGTTTGTTTTTTCCCAAACTTTTTCCCAAACTACTCACCATGAATGGAGGATTCAACCCAAACTCCTGCACCCAGAGACCATATATTGTGACCTGGGACCATATAACCACAAAGTCTTAAGGTTTGTTTGAAATACCACACAAGTTTGCATTTCTTTTTTATCAATAGGTCTTGCAAATAAACACAAAAAAAAAGCCTTGCTGTTTTGGGCATGAACATAATACAAACAAAATGAAGCACAGATCTATTTTCCCAACAAAGGTTCTTTTCTTCTCAAGAATACAATATTCTCTTTAGGAGAGACCTGCAGTTTCACTCACTGCTTGTGTCCTTCTCATTCTGAATTCCTGACAGGGAAAGGCTGCAATG